TGAACATAGCCCCCATACCTTAAGGTAAGACGTATTCTACGTCAAAAGATAAGAAAATCTCTAAAAGACATAGACAAACCTGAAATAAAAACAACGAAGTATGTGTCTGCAAACATAATCCCCAAAAATCTCAAAACATTCCGAAATATCAAACACGAAATATAAGATAAAGTCCATAAAAGTGTACAGAAATCAAATAAGGCAAAGCATAAAGAACACTGCAGGTGCCAAAAAAAAAAATCAGGTTAAATGTTGAAAAGGCTAAAAAATTAAAAGCAAAAATCACCAAATATTTTTTGTTCAGAAAACCGGCATGCAAACTTTGACTCTTATTTTAACCATAAAAAGCAAGAAATTGATGTTTGATTTTGGGTCAAAAGTAGGAAAATCATCTTCCAAAAAGGGAAGGATTGTATCGAGATCGCTGTAAATAAGTTTAAAAAGGGTTTTTATACACAACGAATTCTAATAGATGAACTACCTTTTTTCGGCTTTATTTAACAATACAACGTTCCCCATGAATATAAATAAACGGTAAAATACCTAGCAGTAAAATATTTGAATACTAGTTTTTACCGTTAAATTTTGTGATCCGAGACTCTTTAAAAAATGTTTATCTTAAAACTTTTCCAAACCGCGCCAACGCACAAAATGGTAGTTTATTCTCTTCTATATAGACTCTGGAATAGAACCTTAGATATCCTCTGTTCTTAATTTTTTATAACCACGTCAAAAAAATGGAATGTAACTTGGGGCTGAATTTTGACAAAGTCTGAAATTTGCCAAGATATTTAAGATTTAAGTGCAAAAAAATAAAAAATTTCTTAGGAATCGGCTAAAACTAAAGTTCACTAACGAGTTCCCGAAAAAGCGAGTAGATTGATGGCACGATTTCTTTTCCTATTTATAAAGGATAGGCCATAGATTTTCGAAGTACTTTTTATGGTGAAATCAATATATGACATAGGTGACAAAACTGAACATTTATTTTGTTTTCCCCATCTTTACTCTTCAACATTTGTAAATATCTGAAAGATATTTAACTTATCTAAACCACTAGTGAAATTTTGTGTAAGTAGCAATTCTATGCAGAATATTATTTGTGCAAAAATGCTGCTATAAAGTATTGCCTGAACAATAAACTATGTATATATGCAGATGCATTTAAATCCCCATGATATTCGCCAGTAGAAATGAAGTAGCATTCATATCTTTAGTCACTGTAAAGCATCCAAATTTCATCACTCAACTCTTATTGAAAAATACAGCTACGTTAAGCAGGTCGTCAAACTGACGCTGTCAAGTTGAGCGTGAAAA